TGACGTAAACACAGGACAAGACAGCTGTCAATCACTTAATCTGAGTGATTGACAGCTCCCAATCCCAACAACTAAAACAATTACGATTGCCTCCGTGACGGCCTGGGACCAGACATAAGATCTGTCCTAAAAAAAATCGAGCCCGACCCGACCGGGCCCGAGGGTATTAAAGCCCGACCCGGCCCGAGCCCGATCACTTAGCTTGATTTGCAGGCCCGAGCCCGAAGCAAACCCGACATTTCATATTTTATTTGTGAGTATTTTTGGTAGACATTCACCGTAGAAAGGGTTCTGTCAGTCGTCATCTGTACCTGTGGGTAAAAAACAAAAAAAACAAAAAAAAAGCAAAAAAGGACGTTTCGCTTCTCTCACAGAAGCTTCGTCAGCGTCAGCGGTAGACAACCCTGAAGTCTCCGTGAAGACTCCGGGAAGTTGCTCTGCGTGCTCTGCGCGTTTATGTAGACATTCACATAAACACGCCCTCTACTGTATGCCTGCTGGCCGGGTGAGAAGCATGGTCCTAGTGTCCGCCACAATATTTATTTAAAAATAAAAATAAAAAAGTCAGCGAGAGAGAAGCCCGACCCGACCCGAACCCGAACCAATGATTGACATTTTAGGGCCCGACCCGACCCGGTCGGGCTCGGGCGGCCCGATCTTACCTCTACCTGGGACCTATGATTATGATGATTAGAATGTTGGCGATTCTATTGCTAAAGGACAAGCATCACCTGACGCCGGTATTCATGGTACGGCTGATGGAATTCTCTTACCGCTCTTCCAACCCGACTCTCTCCCGCATGCAGTCCCAACGTGGACAGGGAGCCGGTCATGAACTTCCGGCCATATGATGGTCCTGTCTGTCACAAGATTACACATTGACGAGTGTTTCCCGCCCCAAGGCCTCCCTCCCAGCCGCACTCGGCCTCCGAGCCGGCCAGCTCTTCACCCCTGGTACCTCCAGCCATTGAGAAGAAGAGGAGCTCGCTCCACGCTCCATTCATCCGACCAAGACGCCTCTCTGCCGGCCACGCTCTGCCTCGTCGCCGGCCCTCTCCCTTCTCCTTTCACAGTCCCCAACTGTTAAATCACAGAGACTTTCAATATCCTCCCTCCTCCTTTTCCTCACAAAATTAAAGTCGCACGGAGGTTTTTTTTTTTTTAAAACATTTATAAACTCCCAGGATGTGTTTAAGCAGTCTGACTTCATGCAATGCATAACTGTCTGTCCCTTCATTAACATATGCAAATGTCAATATTTGACTGTTCAACAATGACAAAAATTCCAAGCCCAAAGGTTTCAAATTTCTGCATAATACAATATTGGATTTCAAAATGATATTACCATTTGTGCTCGAGTTCTGTTGTGGGAAAGTACAGAGAAAAAAAAAATAATTGATATATATATATATAT